ATCTAGTAACAATTTCCTCTTGCTAAGGAATATCCTAATATCCTAAGATACTTATCAAGAAATCTCTAAGCAAATTGTTAGCCCAAATGAATCAGAGTATTATTTCAGAAACCATTCATTTATTAATTCAACATTAATTGCTTCTGTTATAGGACCAAAACTCCATTGTTACAAACAAGCTAAAAGAGCAATTTGGCTTATTTTTAATAAACATTCTCAAAAAGGTGACTTAATGACCAATATAAGTGTCATTGCTTCTTTAATTAGGATTTCAAAAAAGGTGGTTGTCTTTTTGTATTCTGGGGCCATTTCCCTGTGCCCTACTCTCAGGTTCATCCTTTCATTGAAAGTTCGCCAATGTGGTTGAAAATCAGACCTGGTGACTGCAGGAGCAAATCAGTGTTCTGCCCTCATAGCCAGCTGCAATACCTTAAGTACATATTTATGCAGCCTCCTTTTTAATCACTGTAGCTGTTAGGCAGAATAAAGAATGAAGCTCTGGTCAGCTCCAGCAGTGTCAGCTCTGTTGGTCAGATGCAGTCCAGAAACATTCTTCCACATGTGCACTCAATGAATCACAGCATACAGAGGATAATGAATTTAAACCAATACCCCTTAAGGTCTTTGGTACTACCATTGATGATATAGTGCTCAGTAAAGAAATAGTAAAGAAAAAGTAAAGAAATCTTCCTTGCAAAGCCCAAGAACAGTGACATGACTTGCCCCTTATACACATGCATACTCTTCCATACTTCCTACATCATTTTCACACTCTGCCATTTTCATGATCTTCTCCTGTACGAGCCACTCTTTTGTTCAGAAAAGAAGTGAAATGACTAAATGTGCTGCTAAGCCCATAGACAGTCTAAGAAAAGTGGTCATTATTTTCTTAGGCAGAAACACTGACTTAAGACCTGTTTCGCAGCATCTTTCTTTGGTGTGCTCTAGCTGCTGTCTCTCTGTTCTTCTCTTTCACCTCACTGATTCAAGACACTCACTTTGACTTACAATTCCTGCCCCAATAAGGGGATACCTTTCTTTGTGATTACATAGCACCTAGGATTCTGAAACTTTGTCCACTCAAACCTTCTTAATGATGTTGTGGTATGAATAAATGGTGCGTGTTATCTTAGTGAGCCACTGCACTAACTGCATTAGCTGAGGCAGATTTCCATTCTTTTCATATCTTTGCTTCCCTCCTATAGTGACAAAACTAGACTTTGTAGATCCCCAGATACAGCGACTCATGAAAAGTAATTTCTTGATCCTTCTCATTACAGCTGTCTTCTTTTGTTTGAGGATTGGCAAGAGCAGGAATAGAGAGGAGTGTGATGGACCCACTGCTGGCCAAGGCTAAACCAGACAGAGGAGGTTGTAATGCCTCTGTGATATCATACTTAAGAAGCAAAAAAGAAGTTACAGTGCAGATGTAATTGGGCTCAGAGAAGAGCAGAGTTAGAATAGGTAAGAGGAGCAGCCCAGCTGACACCCAGGCTGGTGAAGGAGGGACAGGAGGTGCTCCAGGTACCAGAGCTGAGGTTCTCCTGCAGCCTGTGGTGAGACCATGGTGCCGCAGCTGTGGCCCTGCAGCCCATGGAGGTCTCTGAGGATGCAGAGATCCACCTGCAGCCTCTGGAGGAGACCAACACTGGAGCAGATGAATGCCCAAAAGAAGGCTGTGACCCTGTGGGAAGTCTGTGCTGTAACAGGCTTCTGGCAGGACCTGTGGATAGAGGAGCCCATGCAGCAGAAGGTTTGCTGGTAGGAGCTGTGACCCTGTTGGCCACAAACACTGGAGCAGGCAGTTCTTGAAAGACTGCACCTTCATGAAGACTTGCAGTCCATGGCAATGAGTCACACTGGAGAGGTTTGTGGAGAGCTATCTCCTGTGGAGGGATGCCATGCAGGAGCAGGGGGAGGACTCCCCTCCCTGAGAAGCATCAGAAACAATCTGTGATGAACTGATCATAACCCCCATTCTCCATCTCCCTGCACCACTGGAGGGGAGGAGATAGATCCCAGGAAGCAGGAAGGGGTGGGGGAAAGGTGTTTCTACGATTTATTTTACTTCTCATTATTCTGTTGTGAATCTGAATGCTAATAAATTCATTTAATTTCCCTGAGTTAAGCCTGTTTTGCCTATGACAGTAATCTGTTTGTGATGTCTCTCAGTTCTTACCCATGAGCCTTTTCTTATATTTTCTCTTCCCTTTCCAGTTGCGGAGAGGAGTGATAGAGTGGCACCTGTCATCCAGCCATGGTCAATCTATCCCACATGATCTTGTCAGCACTCTATGACAGACTTTGTTTCCTCTTTGGAAAACAGTACAACTGGAAATTAAAACCATTTTAGTAAGGAAACTATAAAATTTTAACATTTGTGGTGGCATCGAATTTTATTCTTCCCCTTCTTGTTTTTTGGAGGGAAGTCCGTTCTTCCTTTCTTCTTGCAGTCTAACATGACTACTTCTGTATTTGTTTGGCTTTAAATTTAGTGTTTCCCTTTACTGATTTAATAGAATTTCACTTCTTTTACATAAATGTAGAAAAATGTTTTGTACTTTTTCAAACAATGCACTTTCTATTATGTTAGACTGTAGTGAAAGTGGGAATGAAATGCCCCATTATAATTCTAGTTGATGCTCTTTATACCAAAATTGTTACTTATAGATATTCTCAAGCACCTTGAGTAATAACATTTTAAGTGGTTCTCCCACTCTTCTATGAAGGGTAGCATTTACATTCCTGTAGACTTCCCCACTAAACACCTTTCTTGAGATGTCACCATAATTTAGATACACTTCTGAGAAGTCACCTACCTTTACGCTTACAATAGGCAACTTTCTCTCTTTTTGTTTTAAGGAGTCTTATATCAACAACTTTCTAAATTGGTGCAAAAAAGCCCTGAACAGTCTAGTTGTTCTTTTTTTTTTGCATGCACCAGAAAATGGCATCAGACCATGTAGAGTATACATGCTTTTTATGCTTGTTAATTAACATACAAGTAAGTATATGAACATTGCTACTGCCCTGTTGATTTTACACAGCAGAGGAGATGCTATTATTGGCTTCAGACTCAAATGTCATCTGGGTTTGGAGTCTTCCAGATTATGATTTCATCTCTGTAAATTCTAGTTTTCATAAGTCTGTTTATATACACTGTAAACTGAAATATTCAGTCTGAAATAGTTACAGACATAAAATGCTAAACAAAACATTTTATGGTTGAGTTATGCTTGCTTCTACTCTTTTAAAAATTCTGCTAGTGAAATCACAGCATTGTATTTTAGATTAGATGCCTAACATTTCCTTTTTTGTGTGCTTCCTTTGCCCAGACAAGCCACCATATTCAGTTGAGCAGGGCTTAGGACTCGAAAAGAGACTTTATTTTTGGAAAAAACCCAAATTAAATAATGCCATTTTTATTCTTTCCAAGACAAGCTTATCACTGGGGATTTTTTTTAGTTTAAATCAGTTGCCCCCATGAATTTGCTAGCTAGCTGCCTTTAAAGATCATGCAATTCCCTCAAATTCCAGGATAAATGCTATTATAAGATTATACAGAATGGGAATTGGTGAGCTTTTGTATGTCTCAGTGAGCAAAATAGGTGACAGGAAGCAGTTTTGCCTGCTTAGACATTCATCCAAGTCCCGCTATAAGGACTGGAAGGACATCCATTGACTCCACTGGGAACTGGATGAGTCTCTAAGCGTCAATAAAATCAAAGAATTCTCACAGTGAATCGGCCTATCTGGCACGCATTAAAATAAACGATTGTAAATTTTGAAAATGACTCTTCTTGCAGCATAGGCCAATTGGTCAGCTGCAAATTTGGCACAGCTGTGCAGCATGTGTCCTGGGCAGTCCACAGGAACATGATGTTCTTTTTCACTCCTGAGAGCTTTGGAGAATGAAAGAAAGGACTCAACCCATTGCTGAAGACTAAATGCTGAAATAATGGAGCTAAATAAAGAAATCAAGAAAATGCTTACAAAGGTAACATTTATTTTGAAGGAAAATAATTAACAAAACCCCCAAAAGATGAAACATTTTAAAGGCAAGTGTGCTGCTTAATTGGCTGTTCTGGAAAGAAAAGAACAAAATTCAGAAAATTCTCTGGCAGAAGCTGATGGAATTTGACCTTTATATCAATGTACTGTAGAAATAAGGCAGAATTCCTGAAAAAAAAAATACTAACCATGTAATTTTCATCCTTTCACCATCTGTGGGGGGAGTGAAATTCATCCAAAGACAGGAGAAGCTACTGAATTCTAGGCATCCACACTGCTGTAAAGAAATGCTGCTGCTCTGTCTTCAAATAGAAGGATGATAGATAGACTCCTAGGGGATGCCTTTAAAGCCTTGTGCAGTGGGTATGAACTCTAGAAAGAACAGATAGATAGATTTTCAACTGCATATAAAAACAAAAGAGCAAAAAATTACAGTCAGTATTGTTTTTCATGTAATGTGCAAATAAAGCACAGCACATGCACACTTAGGCTTGAAAGCAGCCACTGAAAAACTGGTTTTGATTGCCCTGATTCCCCACAAAGGAAGCTTCTCATGCTTAGAAAGCTGGACAAATGTCATTAATGGAAAAGGAGCTTCACCACAATAAAAGAAATGTGAGATTCAGTATCTGTACCATGCTGTTAAACACTAATCCCAAGAGACCTTAAGTCTAGCTCAGCATTTTGCAATTACATACTAAAAGATACTTTGGACTTCCTTATTTCATGTCTTTGTGGTAGTCTGCACTGGTAAAACAAGATATCACAGAATATATGATTATAAATCAAGAATATATGATTATAAATATTCCTGTGACCTAGAGATAACTACTTCTCTCCAAGATAAGTGAATTCCTGAGGAGTCTCCTTGCTAAAAGGTATTAAAAAGTCACTGTTTGAAAAAATGCAATTTTAAATTAGCGTTTTAATTTTGGGGGCTTTAGAACCCCAAAGTTTTATCTGTGTTTTGTTTTGCTTTTTACTTTCAGCTGTTGCATGTGATTTGGAGTTCTCCTCCTTCTCTGCTTCCCTGCTGGCTCTGAATGATTTGTGACTGCATTCCACAAAGGTCCAGTGTGACAAGAGCAGAAGAATACATTAAAAGGCTTTTTTAGAGGTAATCTTAAAATTCTCTTTTTTGCTAATTCAATTCAACCTTTTTTTTTTTTTTTTTCAGTGTAAAAATCTGACCACTAGTAGTTTAATTTGGCTCATTGATGCTAATGGCCCATGTCCACCTCTGTTTCTATGGAAATGGATGCCAGCCTGAAGAGTGGGGAATGATTTTAAACATATTCTTCATAGAAGCTGTTACCTATCAGGTGTCCTTTATCGCTAAAATTTGACTTAGAATGGTTTCTGGTAGCAAAACAAAAGCACTGCTAATTAGTTTCTAGTACTGCTAGTTGAGGACCAAATTTACCAAAATACATTTTTCAAGTATATACGGAAGAAAATCCCAGGTTCACTGGCTTCTTGATCCTGATTTGTTATTGTCTTGCATCAAATGCAATAATTCACCAGATCAGAAAGGGTATATCAAATGCTATGAAAGTAGGGTGGGTGAATAAAGCATTACCAAAATGGGACAAGATTGGTTCATTGTTCTCTGTAAACAACCAGGCAAGATGAGAAGGAAAGAAGGGCGAAAAATGGGCAAATTTCAAATATCTACTCTTAAAGGGAGCATAGACATTGCTCTCGCAAGGGAACATTGGTTCTCTGTAGAGGTTTTGCAAGTAAGGTCTAATGTAACATTTCTCTCTGAAAGCTATCACTTTGCAGAAGCATCTCCTTAGGCTGAACAGGTTGGTGTTGTGTTGAGGTTTTTTTCTGATTCATGGGTAAAATTCTCATTGGTTCATAGATAGTATCTACAGCTGAGAGCAAAATTGTTTCTAAAGATATGGGGAAAACTTAAAAGCCTTTTCTTTTTCCCAGCAAAAGATTGAAAGACTTCATTGAAAATATCCTATTCACATTTTCAATCGGTATATGCATGTGCACACATGATCTTGGTCTCATATAAAACAGCGAGAAAGGATAACATGGAACGAGTATTTACACAGAGTAATGTAATGAATACAAGTCACTTCTACTTTTTGATTAACTTCTCTGGCACAATGTGTGAAGGCAGAACACATGTCCTGGCATGTATGCTATTTCAGCAGATTGTGGAATATTGCCACATGTTTGTTTTCATGTAGGTTGTTTTCATGTGACTCTTGTAGGGGTTCTCTCATTGGCTATCACCTGGTTTTAGGTTATTTGAGTCAGATGTAATCTAACATGCAGCATGTGTATTTTAATGTCTGCAAGTGGACATACTGTAGCATCTCAATAGTGTAGCCTCTGATATATTTAACATACTGAGCATTTTGTATAGTGCATGACCCATGGATTCCATATGTGCTTCTTATCATCTGAAGTCTTACCCTTCCTGCCTCCCTCATTGTGTACTTTGTCCATCCACTCCATTGATCAAGTGGCAATGGGCTTCAGTGAAAACAGAGCTGACCAGTTTGCACCTGGTTTGAGCAGCTGGCTTAATATTGATCTTAAGACAAAGAAATCTTTTTGAAAATTTGTCCCAAAGACTTTCTCTGAATGGAAGTTCTGTCCTGGGACAACTGCCACCTAGAAAAATGATGTACCATTATGTGGCAAGTTTGGATTTTCAGATTCACTGGATGGACTAGAGAGAAATTTTTTCCTTGTTGAATTTTTTATGTTTTCTGAAGTGGAGTAAGAAAAAGAAATGTGGTGGAGCATTCTCCCCCCAAATGCTATGGAGATCACAGGTCCTGTCACAAGCTACAGACCCTCATTTCCCTCACTGAGCTGCTAGGATGTATTACAAGAATCCCTGATCTTAGTACTGTAGAGAAAATTGAAGTCACAGGACATTAACATTAGCATATATCAGATCAATCAAATCTGGCAATGTTGACAGTAGAAAGATTCAGCTGAAAACCAACATTGTGTTTAAAAATTAGTTGAAAAATCAATTTTCTGTTGAAATGAAGTTTGCACAAAAAACCTTACTCTCAACCAGTAATATCAGAAAGGCCAATACTCTGCTGATGGCAAAGTATTTGGTTGTTACTTTTGTACAGATGGCTGCATAACATTCACAGAAGGAATGAATCTAGAAGCCAGTTTTTCAAATGTCATCTTCTACATATGTAAGTGCAAATGGGTCCCTGTATATCACTTGTGCATGCAAATGATAGACCTAGCATTTGCACATCAAGCACAGATCATCTTTGGACATTATCCTACAGACGGACAGATACAGTGTGAATCACATTTATTCAAAGAAATGCAAGCTAAAATCCCTTTAGAAAGGCAGTCCCTTGGTTTGTCTACTCCCAGCAACATACAGTTGCTGAGGTAAGCAGTTACTTCTACTCAGTTTTGTGAAGATAATTTTTTCATCCTCTGAATATTCTCTTATTAATCCTATTTTCCAAAGGTATGTTAACATTTTGTAAGGCTAAGCACTGCAGAAAAAAAGAGAGTTTTAAAAATTAATATTGGCTTGGTCTGTCAATAATTACACATTTACCTCTGCACAAAAAATTGACAGAAAGAAAATATGCTGGGTCAGTATTAGGAGACTGAATTTTTAAAAAACATTTTGTGATATCCTTGTCTTTAATATGTCATGTCATTAATGATGCATCTTTGGCTGAGGAGCTAAGCACATTATTTATGATTCAGATTAAATTTAGCCATGTGAAGGGGTTTTTTTTTTCCCCCAGTCTATTTATTTGTGAGAATAGATTTTTTACCAGAATAGCTAAGACTAGAGAAATTTTGGTCTCATCAATTCTAAGCTGATTTCATTGGCTTCTATAGCAATTCTTTAGTCATAGATTGGAAATAAACACATTCATTGAGACTCACAGTAATTTGGAATGGTGTTAAATTGCTAATAGTATGCTATGTATAGATGTGCTAATACAAATGTGATAGCTGGACGTGCATCATATATCATCACATTGAAAGTTTTATTACTGCTTCACTGAATGCTAGAGAAGTAATGAGGTTTTACTCTTACTGAGAGTAGGAGCAGTTCTGCAAACAGTACCATTTTAAATGTGCAGCATGCAATAAATTACCTTTTGTCTGAAGGATTTAAATAGTATTTATATTTCAAAGAAAAAATCATAAAACTTTTCCTTGTTTAAACACAATTCTTTCCATGCCATCTTTCTAAAGGAAAGGGAGGTCCAACATATAATTTTAAGTTTTGTAGATATTTATTTTTAGCTTTGCTTCAGTATGCTTGATATTTTTTAAGGAACTCAGTTAAGTGTGCCTTATTCGCTCATTTGTCAGCTATTTTATGTCAATAGTGTTAATACAGGTGAAATGAAGTTCATGGAAAGTATTGTATTTCTAAAAAACAGACGGCTTAGCACATTCTGTGTTGGTCTGGTCATATGACAAGGGGGCCTTATCATGACATGCTTAGTTTTATTACTAGAGGTAAACCTTTTTGTATGTGGTGAGCTATTTAACTGTTACAGTACTGCATTTTGGATAGTGAGCCATAAACATGGTTGTGGGCTTTCAGATGTATAAAAAAAATCAAGGACTTATATAATCACCCATGAAGAAGAAGGAGAAGAATCGAGTACAATATTTCTTTATATTCTGTAGGGAGTACAGCCCAGATGACTGTTAGCTTTTTCACTGAAGGCAACACAGTTTTTAACAGATTTTAGATCTTTGCATGCGTGTAGCTAACTTAAGAAGGCTTCAAAAGGCTTTCAGAACTAATGATTTTTTTTTTTTTTTTTTTTTGCTTAACGATGAACGATGAACTTACAGCACTTAAACAATGTAAAGTGATAAACAATGTAAGGAGATACTGGAGATAATCTACATCTTCGAAGTCCAGGGAGAAGGGCCAGAAGACCCAAATAGTGGACAGTGGGTGAAGTTTTCCTAGAAGTAGTAACACACCAACAGCAAAGCAAGATGTCAAGCTGGGTGTAGCAATAGCTACATAAAATTAATATTTTCTTCCTCCTCTCCACAAATAGGTTCAGTAAAAAGGACCCTGTGATTTCTTCCCCTTTGAACTTAAATTGCTTTTTCTGTCTGTCTGTCTGTCAATTTCTGTAACTATATGTAGGGTGAATATGACATAAACTCTGCTAAGAAAAGTGCAAAGAAATTCAGAAACTGAGTCACATTTTCAGCAACGAATAATTCTGAATGGGAAGAGAATGAACCAAAGAAGCATGACAGGAATTAAGACACGTAAAGACATGAGATTAATGTTTTATTACATAGTTATCTCAAAAGACAGGTATTTATAGAGGAGTTCTTAATCTAATTCAGTTCTTAGACAGCATCTGAGAAGAAGAGCATTTCTTTCGGCTATTCACCTTAAGTCCCATCATGCATTTTATTGAACATGAAAGATAAACATCTGTTATAAGCAATGAAATCATGTTTCTCTTACTTTGAAGCAAAATACTGGACATAATAATCTATTAAGAATCCTTTCCTATTTTCTTTTCATTGATTATATTGTTGGAGGCAACTTCCCTGTGTTTCTACAGCTTTCTTTGATGCAAAAGCAAAAATACAATTAATTAAAATTAGAGTACTATCTAATTTTCTGTCTGAAATTCATTAGTCAGAAAGTAAAATGGAGGAAAGAAAATGGTCTCTGTCTCTTCTTGGATCAATGTCACTCTATTGCCAACAAGTTAATTCATTGATGTGGAGATGCACTTTCCTCAGTGCAAATCCTAGTTCAGGATTTGTATTGCCTTGCCAGTAATAGGGGTTTGATGAATTGATATTTGATATGTTTGCAGCTAAGTAAATTCAAGACCAATCTTTACTAATAACATGGAACTGTGCAGCAGACCTGAATTCTGTGCTGGGCGTGACATTTCCAAGATAGGTGACTCATTTCACTTTATTTAGTGTACCTTTTACTTATGAATTCTAGGCATCCTCCTGTCAAGTGTCTACAAAAGATGGAGCTGTATCCAAGAGCTGACAGCTATTCAGAATGGACAACAAACTAATGTGAATTCACTTTGAAGTCACCAAATGCCAAGGGAAGTTATAATAAATCCTGCCAAATTTTCTGGACGCTTTATACACATGATAAACAAAAAACAGACAGCATTCTGCAGGTAGACATGATCTCAAAAAGCAAAGTCTGCTCCTCTTCTTTCCAGTGCTGTTGCTTCATATAGTGGTTATTGGGCCACTGAACTCTGATGCATTTCAATAGCCTTTCCACATACTGAGTGCCAGGTTTCTCGCATGACAGGTTTCCTTGATCAATACTTAACCATCCAGACTTCTTGAACTCAAGTTCTTTGACTCACAGGTTGTTGCAGTTGAGGTGGACATGACATGACACTCTGCAGTTCATGCAGCAACAGTGAACTTTCATTGATTATAGTTCTCTTTTATATGGTTTTCAAATAATCTCACAGTCAATCCCAGCTGACTAAATTTTGGTTACCACCCAGCTCACTGGCCAATAGCTGCCTGTGTCCGTGCTTGTCAGGGATTAGCTGGCGTTGTTTGAATTTGAATCTCCCACCTTCTCAGTGCCTTCCTCCTAGGGATGTTTACTTCTTTTCCTTAGCAGCATAGACTGGTTGAATTATAGTTAGGGCTACCTATGACTGTGAGGCCTCCAGGCTAGCTGTTGTCTGCCACAGTTCCCCCTTTTTGTTTTTAAATACAAAGGCAGTGTCTGTCACCCTCTTCAGGGTCCTTGCAGACAGGATGACAAACATGGCACAGTGTGTGAGATAATTATGATGGCACAAATGATAAGCTTAGTTTGCAGGAGGCTCTTCACTCAACTCAACAAGCCTAGCCTTACTAGCCATTAGTCTATCCCACACACCATCAAAAGTTTTTACTGTCATGTCAGGAGCTATCAAAAATGAGCACAGTTTTATAGGATGCTGTGCTGCACACTGTTCACATCTATGGCTGAACTGCTCAAACTAAAGGAAGTTACAAACAAGTCAACTCAAAAAAAAAAACCTGTCAAAGATAACATTCAAAAACTGTAAAAGGTAACATTTCACAGCCTTGTTCTCTATTTGGTCTTACAGGTCACGTGTTGTCACAGTTTCAGAGACAGACCAGTGACATGACACACTGAGCCCGTGCAGCAGCAGTTCACTTCATTCACATCTCGCTCCCTTAAAGGCCTTATGAGCCCAGGAGGTCAATCCTCATTGGCTGAGCCAGTTACTTCCTGCTCAGCCAGCCAATAGAAGCCTGAGTCTCCAGCGGCCTGGGCCTGCTCTTACTGGGCAAGTTATATAAGTAAGAGAATTATGTAACTGATCACATATTTCCCTTATAATTTTATAATTATTTATACTTCGAGGCCTACAGGCCAGCAGTAAGCCACCACCATGTCCAGGTATATAATTAAAATTTACATGTCCTTTTGCTAGTAATGTCCTGAAATTGTTTGACTCTTCAGGTTTAAGTGAAGTAATCGGTGAATTGTCTTCCAGTTGTTGACAACACCCAATAACTGTTGGTTTGTTAGGTCATGTTAAATGTGATTGAGAATTTTAAGAACATCCAAGGCTTTTGTGGCAGGTATATACTATTCTCACACTCCCCCTTCTTTGTTTTTACAGTAGTATACTTAACATCATTCAGTGGCAGCGGTGGAAATAATGAATCTTTTCTCTTTTCAAGCATTGAAATCTGAATGTTAATGTTGTTAAAAGAATTTTTTTCTTTTGTTACAGCATTAGCTTCATTTCCTGTTGGTCCATGGATATAATAGTGATAGATATGTGCCAGCTGCCTTCTCCTAAAATGACTGTAGTTTTTCCAGTATTGCAACTGATCTGATTGTGGAGCTGTCCATGAAGGGCTAGCTAACCCATCAGGTCAGGTATTTGAATCCTAGTCCTGAGCACAGAGTATACACAGCTGCACAACCTTGGTCAGCAGTGTTTCAAATCTCAGAAAAAATGGTGTCTAATTCAAATACTGTGAAATAAATGAAAGTATCTGAACAAGGAGGCAGGGCTCATTTTGTCATCTAGCCTTGCCTATTATACTGTTTAGGTTCCTACACACTTTGGAGTCCTAACTATTTAGCCAGACCATAGACCATATCCTTTAAATAAGTACCAATATCCATTTAACAAGTTCCTTCACTACTTAACAGTCAAATGCTATTACCTATTTAACAAGTAAGTTAATTGTGATGTTGCACACATTGCAATGCCCCTGTAAATTAAATTAACCCCTCACAACTGGCTCAGACTTTCTGCCCTTCAAATACTTGCACAGAGATTTAGAAGAGGTAGCATATTTAGTGAGGAGATGAAAGGGAGGGAGAGATGACTAGTCTCTTGTTTTGACTAGTGTTTGTAAATTGGTCCTCATACTTCACAATTTTATCCATTGCATTTTGTAGGATACACTGAGAATCGCATTCAGGGACATGCAGTTTGCACCCATGTCAGTTGTAGTTAATTACAGTGGTTTTGTGTGGATGGATATATGTACAAAGCCTTGAGATAGAAAATATAACTTCAGACTTTGTTAATTATTGCTAATGGATTAGAAATGCCTTGATTGATCTGATCTTGTGGGGTTGTGGTATCTCTTATTTTTAAGGCAGTCTGTAAGATATAAACTCTCTACCCCACACATAACATCTTCAAACAAAGCAGAAAACCTTGAAGAAAATTTTAAGTTTTTTGAGAGTTATAGCCCATACTTTGTTTATGTATAGTAATTATTTATTGAGTTAGCACTACCAAAAGGCAGATTTGGATACCAGGACAATGCATTAGATAACTGCTAGTCCATTTGCTCTGCTGGTATTTTGTGGTATTTTATGCTGTCTTAATGGCATCACCTGAGATTCTTTGGGCACAAAAATATTTTAAACTGTGGTCTGTAATAAATTTTCAGGAAATTCTTTTCAAATTCCCACAGAAAGAAGCTCTGTTGAAAATAATGTTGAAATGGCCAGGTTATAATTTTGAGATGGTCATTAGAGAATATTGAATTCTAGTTAATTAATAAACTTTAAGTATTATATGTACATGTAAATTCAGCCATAATATATAGAGATATATGTCACTGTTGAGACTTCAGCTTACCACCAAGAGGTTATTAAATACAGCATACATTCCAAGGATAGCAGATCCAGTGGAAGAGTTCACTCATTTTCAGTCCATTCCAGTATGAATAATGCCAATGCTTGTATCAGCGTCATAAACTGGTTAAATTGCCAAGTCAGGCTAAAGAGAAGCATTGCTATGGATACAGCTATGAGTGTGAGCCTTTCTTGAGCAGGCTGTAATGAATTCTGAGTAGGTATGTGATGGCTGCTACCTGAACAGCAAAGAATAGCAGTACCCTGTTCTCCCTTAAAGGGATGGTGAATTCTACTGCTTATAGTATCTACTCTGGCTCTGAAAAGAAATCACTATGAAGGTTCTGCAAGTTACCCATTGTTTCTGCATCTCAAATGATGTACTTCAGCTTCACTAACTGTTATATACCAGCAAGCTGCCAATGGCCCTGAAAGCTATCTTCCCCTAAGAAGCCAGCTTGTTACATACAGAGCAATGACCTAAACTGCTTGAAGTCCAAACAAAGAGCAGATATAAAAATAAACAGGCACTAGGTATTGCTGAATTTGAAGAATCCTAAACAGAATGCTGAGAAACACCTCCTGGTGAATATTCATTCTTTCAAGTATGTTAATTGTCCTCAGATTGTTTTGTTGTCGTATACTAAATGATGTAAACCTTGCTGTATGGAAGCAGTCTGAATTATCTGTTTGTAGTAGGAATAATAAAGTTCACACTTGGTTCTGAATGAAATTTCTCTTGATCTTGGAAAACCACAGGTAATTTTCATGCAGTGTAGCCACATAAAGAAAAGTAAGAAGTCCAAGAGTGACAACAGTAATTCCACAGTTACTGAGAGTATGTTCCACAGTTTGATATAGGAGGTGGAAACTGTGAAAACCAGGATAGCTTAGTTGCAATATTTAATTTACTACATTATTTGAATGACATTGTAAAGATACAATCCCTTGTTCACTTACCAGATTCCAGATTTTACAGATATGGTCTTTAGATCCAGTGAAGAGAAGATAATCAGTTGCTTCAATGCAAAGTACAGTCTTGGTATGTTCCTCAGGCTTTTTTGAGCTCATGCTGCGGATGCAGTGGCATGTGGTGTTCCATGGCTCTGGGTGCCGGCAGCCCACTGCTTGGCTTCTGGCTTCCTCTTGCATACCAAAGCTATGAGTGGGCTTGCCAAGTGGTGGCTGGGCTGTCCAGTCAGCCGCAGGCAGGGGTGGGCTGAGGAGACTACGGCAATATGGGGCATGGAACAAAGCAATGGCTTGGCCAGCTGCGGTGTGAGTGAACCCGCTCACGACACAGACACACCCGACGCTGGTGGTGGGGGACCTCCGGCGGCAGCATGGCGGGACGGTGCCACAGGGATAGGGAGCTCCGATAACGGCTGCTCCCCCCCAGCTTCTTGCCTGGCCATTCTGCCCATGCGCCTGAGGTGGCATGCAGTCCCCCATCGCTCCCCCCTGCCCTCTGTCCTTGCTGGACGTTCTGGCTGGCAGTGCCCATGGTGCCTCAGTTGCAGCTTTCACACTCCACTCGGCTTTTATCTGTTTTGAAGTGTCCAACACCAGCCACCAGGTCATTAAAATGTCTTCACTCATGTTGTTGCCTCAAGAGGCCAACTTTAATATCAGTTCACCATCCTGCTCCCATGTTTGCACTTTAAAAACGGCTTCTGCAGTTGTGCCTAGTTGATGGCTCTTACACCATGACAGCAAGGTTTGCAAAGCATGTTCACCATATTTTACCCCTCATTTGCATAAAAAGAGGGTCCATATCTGAACTACAACTCTTTCCTCTGTCAGATCCCCATGTCCTCAGTGGATACTTTGTATTTGCAGTGGTCTGTACTCTTTCAGTTATACACACTCACCGGCAGCTCTCCAGGCTGCCTCTCCCATGGGCTCTGTCCCCCCAGCTCTCCATGTAGCAGGCAGCTGCCAGTCATGTCGGGATCACCACTTGTCACAGTTTAGACGGACACAACACAACACTCTGTGTTTCATGTGGCAACAATGAATTTTAATCTATTGCAGTTCTCTTTTATATGGTTTTCAAATAATCTCACAGTCAATCCCAATTGGCTAAATTTTGGTTACCACCCAGCTCGCTGGCCAATAGCTGCCTGTGTCCATGCTTGTCAGGGATTGGCTAGTGTTGTTTGAATTTGAATCTCCCAGCTTCTCTGTGTCTTCTTCCTAGGGATGTTTACTTTTCCCTGACGGCATAGACTGGTTGAGTTATGGTTAGGGCTACCAATGACTGTGAGGTCTCCAGGCCAGCTGTTGGCTGTCACAACAGGTGGTTATTAATGGCTTAAGGAGAGTTTCAGAATAAAACATTTGTAGTTAGGTAAGGAAGAATGATATTTTGAGATAAATAGCTGCAGAAGAATGGGTCTATAGATTGTTTAAACATCACTGCTCTTCAGATATGATAGAGAAAATAAAGCTTTGGCCTGAGAATTTTAGCTGAGCAGAAAGAGTAATAGTTATTTTTTCTTTGTTGGATAAGGTTTACCATTGTACTCTTTTGACTGTATACTGAGAATTAAATGCAGGTATGGAAATTTTACTATTGTCTCAGAGAAAAATTCAAGCATGAATATGTGGCAGAAGGGAGATTGTTTGTTTGGATTTTGGTTTTTTGTTTTGGTGAGGTTTTTTTGTTTGGTGTTTTTTTGGGGTTTTGGTTTTGTTGTTGTGGTTTTTTTTTGTTTTTTTTTTGTTTTTGTTTGGTTTTTTTTTTTTTTTAAAACATTTTAATATTTCAAATAGGTCTAGAAGGTCCAAGAAAAATGACACATTTTGTCCTTGAATTGTTAGGCGAATTTCTGCATACAGATGAGAGGCAACAGCCAGAACATTTAGGTTCTTAACTGGGATTGGGCTCACTCCATACAAGTCGTCGCAGATGCCACTTAATGTTTTTAGCGACACTTTTACTACCTAACTTTTGTGACTTGTATCTCTTATTCAGACCCTATTTTTAACAACTGCTTGGTCCTTTCTCTCATACATGTTTTTCTGCATTGTGCCTCTAACTGCAAAGTGAACAGCTCTCTCGGGTACTTGACAGCGTATCCTCTTTCAGAGAGTAGCACCACACATTTGGTGGCATGACTTCATAGCCTCTATAGTCAGTCCAAAACAACAGCCTCCTTCATGTTTTTCTGTACTCCTGGAGCTCTTTGGAACTTGTTCCTGGGAGTGGAATGCAGACTAATAAAATTCCAGAGTACATGAGGTTTATAAATAAATTAAAGTACTCTCGTCTGAAACACTTAGAAGGGTATTTGTGAACATTAACTGTATGCAGGAACAGATATATAGCCTCACTTTTCATCTCTTGTTGACTAAACAGTTCATCCACCCACTGGTGTACATGTTTAAAACACTTTCTCTCTTTACAGCATGTATTTCTCTGCATTTTAGCAAACACCATTTAGAATCCCATTGGCAGATGCTTCTAGAGCCATATAAGCAAAAAAATTTCCAACAGTATACTTCAACTTCTCCAAAGAGTGTTACAACTTTCAGGTAGGGAGTCATATGTAACTTCCTTGCCCTGTGTCCAGTTTTAAGAATACTAAAAGAGAACTAAAAGAAATACACTTATCCAATCCCAGTCAAGCATGTATAATTAAGTCTATGCAAATCTTTCAACCAAGTAACAAGAACTGTCATTTAAGGAGTGCTATATACCTCATCTTCTAATTGCTATCCTACAATTACTTCAGTCTTATAAGCCAGTTTATGGCTTTGAGAAAAAAATAAAAATAAAAAAGGAGGTAAAATTGCAGATACAATAATCACTGAGTGATAAACAGATGTTTTTACTGCATCAATGTTGGACAAAGAGAGAGCCTCTCTTCCTCTCAGAGAAGACTCTCCTTTTTGGTACCAAATTTGTGCAAAGGCTGAGTTTTTGTTTGGTTGCATTTTTCCTGTTCTAAGTCAGAAATGTCAAATGATCAGTATACTCAACTTCATTTGATTTTCTAAATATGTTTGTAGTTTCTGTTGTATCAGATCTTTGTGATCCTGTTGCAGGGCAATAGATAAGGCAGAATGAAGCCTCTGGACCTGGGAGACTGATGAACTGTACTTGTGCCCCACTTGTGCAGGTTGTAGGCCAGGCAGTTTTCAGGGCGTAGAGAAGAAGGTAAAGCCCATGTTCACTCAGGATTTGTGCATAGAGAGCTGATCTTTATAGGGAGTAGATGTTAGCTCTAACCTGGATTGTTCAATACGCCTTACCCCATGTTCAAAAGTAAGGATGTTTTTCAGATGCAATGGAAGGACACTAAATCTCAGCTTCCACTGCAGAGCATTGTACATCTCTGTCCACTGCTGGATGCATTTCTGCCTCAGATTTACTACTGCTTCTTGAGCAGATACTTCTCTGTTTAGATTTTTTTCTCATTTGGCTCCATCATCAGGAGTTTCCATTTTCACTCTGTAGAAGAAAGCTGCTACAAAATATGTTCAGTTTTCAGAACACATTGAATGTTGAGCTTGTCAGATGGAAGAATGTGATTTCAATAGTTTTGATAGATGCTATAAATACCACTTATAAAATAAGCTGCTCTTATTTAAAAAGTTTGTTTGAAAAATGCCTATGATTTAGTGGCATTAAAAAATTAAATTAATGGTGATTTACAATTTCAAACCAAAATGGACTTTTGGCTGTTCCTTTCTGCCACAGGATAACTGTAAGATTACAGAGTTTTATTCACTACAGAAACAGATGACAAAACAAGATGTACTAAGGAACCAACTAGAAGATGGCTTTTTAAGTGCTGACTTGAAGTGAGTTTGGAAACATCCCCAGAGAAAAAATGATGGCCAGAGGCCAGAAGCACAGCTCATCAAGGGAGGTGGGAATCAGACTGTAGAATGAAGTAAGATAAAATACATTAAATTTCTTGTCAAATGAAGTCTTAAACCCCAGATGATTGCTTCTATCACTGTGTAAATTTCGGTGTTGTCACAATACTGTATTATAATTCGGATTTTTTTTTCATAAAAAGAAAATAGTAACTATTAAATGCTTAGTACAAAATCCAATTGTTACAGTAGAAAACTGCAGAAGTACAATGAAGTCCAAATAAAGTATCTTGCTTTAGTTGAATCATCATGTTTTGGCACAGCATAAGTCAGTGAGGAAGCTTCACATGTTATATCACTGTACGAGGAATAATTTTTGTCTTATGTACCCTAAAAGCCAGAAGGTGCAAATGTGACCTCCTATTTAACATATCTCTTTTTTTTTCTGGATCAGACAACTTGGAAACCTTTGCATGAGTGAACAGCAAGTTCCAAAAGAAGTTTTTTCACTTCATTTAATAAATTCATTTCTACTTTAGCTGAAATAACTTTTGAAAGTCAGTCTCTCTAGGCTTTTGAAAGGTCTTCCGTCACTGAGCTCTTACTGATATCACTAACAGAAGAGCAAATTGATGCAGAAGGCAGCACGTTCCCTTGGCAATACTAAGCCTGTTGGTCTTGCTGGTACCTTGGCCTCCCAAATTGAATGATTTTTGTATCAGTGAGCTATCCTATATGGCGTCAGCTATCAGAAGTAATGGCTCCTAGAACAGTTAAGGTGTTCTACAGAAAATATCTCTTTGTAGTTATGGATGCTTCCAGTAGCTGGAACCCTGTTTGTAAAAGGCAAGGCAACTCATTATCTGCAAAGTGTGATACATTTATCCTCCCTTTGTGTATTAATCTGAATGGTGGATTTAAAATATATAATCTCCATTATATGGAAAAAAAAAAAAGAGTTGTCAACAAGAACCTGAGTTCTCATTTCTAGGTAAAGCTCACAAATTCAACTGAAGAAATTGGAACTGGAAAATGGGGGATTTGGGGTGTGTTCCCCACCCACTGAAATCATTGGCACATATCCCATTGCTGTTGGAGACCATACAAAAAGACACCATCTAACACCCTTTGTATTGCATTTAACTTGTCCAAATGAGTGAGTAACAATGAATGGCTTGAGTCCCTAGCTTAGTCCTTTCTGAGGTAA